ATGCAAAATAAAGGGATTAGCCATGGTATTTCCTGGGTGATCATTCTATGAAGTTCTTTATTTTCCCTGCTTACAATTTTTTAACTGAAAATCACACACATAACCTTAGTGTTCAGTTCCGTTCAACAATTCTATATACCCTTGAAAATCCACAGAAAACAAGACAATTTGTTTTATCACCAAAAAAAATTCATTTTGCCTCTTTTCTTTTTTCCCTGCGTCATTGTGATGCAACAATTTCCTAGCTTTGATCATCATAAATTAGCTTCATTTGTTCTTGGAGGTTATAAAACTGAAATGACAGAGTTGATTGTGTGTGTGTGTGTGAGATTTACTCTGATCAATATAGTGATTTGGGGATATATCTTTGGTGTTGTTTCCTTACCTCTTGAAATATGTTGTCTTCTCCATTTTCAATTTCCTTTCCTTCTGAGGATCCCATTTCACACATTAGATCATTTGATTTTTTACAGATCTGTTCTTTATTCTATTTTTTCACACTTTTTTCTTCCTTTTTAGGTTTCTGTTTGGTGCTTTCTATTGCTCTGTATTCAAATTATCTAATTCTTCTCTGTACTGAATTCGATGTGCTATTAAATGCATATAATGAATATTCATTTCAGATATTATAATTTCTACAACTCTGCTAAAATTCTCCATAACTTATGTTTCTCACATTTTCAACTATATCCCTTAGTACTTTTATCAGTTATTTTTTGCCTGTTTTTACTTATTTCTTTTAAGACTTCTACTTCCTCACAAATTTCAGAGTTCTTACAAAAAAACAAACAGTTATCTTGAAGTCACTGAATGATAATTTTAATATTGCACCATCTCTGCATCTACTTTTATTGATTATTACCTTTCTTGACTATGGACCTGTCTTTCTTTCACTCTATTTCTGCTTATTTGTGGATTTTGTAAATTTGTTAGTATATGACTGTCTTTTCTGAAAAAGAACAGTATAGACAGAAATAAAGTATATTTACATTTAGAAAAAAAGAATATACCTTCTTGTGATAAACTACTATAATTGGGGCCTTATTCAATTTCATTTGTATTGAGCTAGGCCTGGGATTTTTTGACATACCCACTCTGAATGGATTTAGTTTGTGTTGCTTCATTTCTGTTTCCTCATGTTTAGAAATCGAGCACTGGTCTTTTTCCTTCTATGTTGCGTGGGGTCAGAGAACTTGTGAAATTCTTGAGATAACTCTGTGCTTTATAGTTGAGCTATCAGCTTTCCAAATTGTGGAATACTTCTCTGTGATTTCTTTTTTTTTTTTTTTTAAAGATTTTATTTATTTATTTGATGGAGAGAGACACAGTGAGAGAAGGAACACAAGCAGGGAGAGTGGAGAGGGAGAAGCAGGCTTCCCGCCGAGCAAGGAGCCCGATGTGGGGCTCGATCCCAGGACCCTGGGATCATGACCTGAGCTGAAGGCAGACGCTTAACGACTGAGCCACCCAGGCGCCCCTTCTCTGTGATTTCTACTAAACTAGGCAGATTCTTTGGTTTCTGGGGAGTTTCCTTTGGTCTCAAAACCTGCTTTAGGCTTTGCACACTCAGAAAAAATTTCTGACTGATATGACATCATGCTTTGTTTCTATCCCTTCCCAGGTAAAATCTGTGTTTATTTCCTCAGGTATTTGCTCTGTTTCCATCTTCAGAAGGTGACTTCTTCATAGTTGTGGGAGGCCACACAGTCCTTATTGACAGTCTCTTTCTCAATTCTCCTGTTCTGCACCCTAGCCCTTGTCATGTAGCCTCAAAGCAAATAGTATAGACCCTTGGAAGACTTGGTAAATGAGTACAGACTTGTTCTATGTCTGGGGTTCCTTGAAATTCTTTTTTTTTTTTTTTTTTGTTCCTTGAAATTCTAATTTTTCATGTAAGCCAAGCTCTTAAAAGTGTATTCAGTTAATTTTTTCCTACTTCCATTAATGGCAAGTTACTCATTCTCTCATGTGGAGATATGTCAAGATCCTCTGTCTTATAAAAAACGCATAACATTTTAGAGCTCATATCATGGTTTGTTTGCATCCAGACCTCTGTGGTGAGTTCAGAAAAACTGTGGATTTTTGTAGTTTGTCTTATTTTGACTGTTAGGGAAAAAGAGACAATCTTTTATAATTGTCTATGTCTTAATTAGAAGCTAAGAATTCTCTTCTTTGCATTATATTTAGTTTTAAATATTCCTCCAAATTAGCATGCATTGCTTTAGTTATCATAGTAATAAGATTAAATAAATAGAGTAAAATTAATCAAGTGTTCTGCTTTACCCAAAGGAAGCAATTTAAAATCTATAATATTAAATGTTAGGGAATAAGAGGGAATTTAGTTGCTGAAGCAAACATTTTCTATTGTCTTGCTTTTAGTTACTTTCATAAATGTTGCATTTATAATAAAATTCTGTACTTGTCCTCCTCTATGATGCTAGAGACTGGGAAGAAACACTAATATGTTAAGATCCCAATAGCTGAAAGAGAATCTTACCATTACCATTTACATAATTAACTTAGAGAATCAATTGAGTACTCACTAATATTTACCAGTATTCAGTAGTGAATTATAATTATAATTTAAATGATAAAAATTTTAACATATTAAAGATTGGGAATTAATCAGGTAAAAGAAAGCAAACCAACCAACTGCCGACAACAAAAAGTTACACTTATTTTACAACTTACAAAAAACTTAGATTTACCAGTGTTACATTCATATCTATATAAGCACACATATCTGCCTCATCCTTCTGGAAAAAAAATAACAGGCTCATACTCTTTAGAAAAGTTGCACAGGGAACTGAGTGATTAATGCAGAATCAATACTCCGACCAAAGAGTCTACCTGATTTATCTTACAATCAACATGGGAAAACCATTTTGATGTTATGACTCAGCAGATGTCAAGATGTAAACCTCTCACAAAACGATTTCAGGGCAGGAATTAACTTGCTTACTCGGCAAAACCAGGCGAGAGAGAAAATGCCAGGAAGAGTTCAACCAAGGATGTGCCTCAAATGTACGCAGTGTTCTTTCTTATTTTCTCTCCCTTTCTTCCTGTCCATCCTCTTTCCCCCGCCAACTATTGTTAGAAAGAACACAAATGATGTGGTCAGCAATAAATTGGACAGAATATTAGTGTCTAGAGAAATTATGTCAGTGTGAAATGGCTAAGTAAGACCCTTTTACTAAAACTTGCCTGGAATGGACCTGACCTGCCAGGTGAGGTACGTACATAAAGAATCACAGCCATTTGAATTTACAACTACATGGTTTCTGTTTGAGAGAGTCCTTCAACTCTTTGAATACTGAAGATCCACCCCCACTCCCCAGAAACAGCCCTGATCCATCACAAAATTGTCATCTCATAAACAAGACTTATTGAAGTATGTTAATAGCTCAGTTTATTATGAATAATAATAGTAACATATAAAAGCCAAGAAAATTCTAATGCAGTGAATCTAAACATCACCTGGATGAGGTGAATGGCCCAGGGTTTTGGAAAAGTAAATATGGCCTCCATTCAAAAAATTTTCAGAAGCCTGAACCCATAGAAGTTGACCTTATTGTAATAAATATCCTTTGTATTCTGTTATATAATTATTTGCACACCACCCCCATCTCCATACACTTTCATCCTTTTCACCTTCCCAGCATGGACAGTTCTTTCTCATTCTTTGGGTTGAGTGTAAATGTCACCTCCTCCTCTGAGAAGCCTTTCTTGACTACCTAATCTCAACCTAGGCATCTTGCTTATTTCCTTCGGGGCCCTTGTTAGATTGTGCTACTTAAAACAAACAAACAAACAAACAAAAACTTCTCTATTATTTTCCCTGCCACTACCATCAGTTGATGAAGGTGGGACCATGTCTGATATTCTGGGATGTGAGACATTTAGCATCTGGCACACTGCAGGGCACAGAGGAGGTGAATAAATAAATACATTAAATACTATACCCCTCATGGAGTATCCTGTGACTCTTTCTTATAGAAGTACTTTTCTCTAAGTAGTAGTGAAATTATTGGGCTCTGGTTGCAAGTAAAAGAAACCCAACATAAATTAACTTAAGCCCAGAAGGGATATTATTAACACATACAATAAAAAAACCAAAGATTGATTTTCACAGAAATGGCAGGATCCAGGCTTTAGAAATGGTATCAGCATCCCAGGATTACTGTTTTTCTCTTTTAGTCTTTCACCTCTGCTTCCCATTGAGTCAGCTTTATTTTCAAGCAAATTCTCTATATGTAGGAAGTATGGTCTCCAGTAGACCCAGGCCTGCGTTCAGTCAGCTTAGCAACAACAGAAAAGAAAGCATCTTTCTTGTTACCACTGTGAATGACCCTGGGACAACTAATTAATCTGGCTGGATTAATCTGTGAGGCCAAGGGAATGAGGACATCGACTGGTCAGACTTGATTGATTGTCCAACCCTAGCATCCAAAACACACCTCCCCAAACCTCCCAGAGTGAAATTTTTTGCACCAGAGTAAGAAAGCAAGAATGGCATGTACTGAGAAGACCAAAAACATATTAATATAATCCACCACACACTTCACCTGTAACTCTTCTTGAGTAGTTGCTACTTTATACCCTTTATGAAGGTGTGGAATATACAAACCATCAAAGCTTGTGGTATTTTAGCTTCTTGCTTGCTATGTCTGAGTTTCCATTGTATTAAACAGAATTCCTAGTTTAATACTATCTCCTAATAAATGTCTTATGAATGAATTCATGAAATAATGAATATTTTTCTGAACTTTTCTGCAGAACTTGAGTTGATTTTTCTAATTAGATTTACAATATAACTTTGTCTCAGGAAAATAACTTTTTCTAGGTGGAGGGGAGGGATGCATGATAGTATAAGGGGACATTTCTTTTTTTTTTTTTTTTT